CTGTTCTGTCAAACTGCACAAAATCCCAGCATTAACATTTTTCACACTCCTTGAATAGCTTTCGGGGTTTTGGTCACAGGCGACACTCGCCTGTCAAACCGCAAGGATTTTTTTTAATCTGATTAATCACCGGGTAGCTGCGGATAAATCTCAATTAATTATGATTAATTCGGATAAGGCAGTATTCCTTATTAATTTGGGAAATAAACTAAATTTCTCCAGTGAATGTTGCTGGATGCCTGATGTCAGGAAAATGACATTTTACTCAGGAGTTGAGCTTCAGAGAGTTGGTGAATTTTAGTCATCGCGTATCTCGATGGTGGCTTGTAGGACAACGTGTCCAGAGTTGCTTTCAAAGTCGTTGTCCTCAACAATAACAATCAGTCTACAGACCCTCATCAATCCATGTGACAACCGTGTCAATCATCTTGTTAGCCGTAGACCAGGGGTGTCAAACATACGGCCCGGGGGCCAAAATCAGGCCGTATGTTTGACCGGACGTAGAGACGGTATTTAAAGCTTGAGACGCTTTGGTGAAATGAAAACTCTTTGCAGCTGTGAGCGTACGTGACAACACCTGTATGGACCGTGTGTTAGTGCAACAACAGGTGGATGGATGATGTCAACGCATGTGTAGAACACATTGATCTGCCCATGTGTTCCCAAAATCTGTCGTTTTTGACTGACCTGCCCTGTGTTCCCAAAATCTGTCGTTTTTGACGTGTAGAAAAACAGGTCAGAATACTCTGACTCCCAATCACTGACAAAGTTATATTCATTATAATTCACCCTGATGAACAAAGTAACACGGATAATAATACATTATGAATATACTGAACCTCCAACTCGACTCAAACTGACACGTTACACATGACATCCTCTGTATGGTTGTGTTCCTTCTGCCTTTTTTAGGTTTGCCTTCAAGGCTCAAGTGAAATTCATTTCCCTCTGATGCTGCCACACACACACACACACACACACACACACACACACACACACGATCGCAGGCTGCACAAATATTTCTGGCAACCCTCCTGCCCATATTCAGCACATATGACACTTTGATTTTATGCCGTCATTCCACATATGGTGTGAAACGACGGCACGTGGACGAGCGCTGGTCGCAGCTCCGGCCACATGTCAGGCAACAGTGGTTACAAACACAGAGTCGGCCAAAACATAAACCATTTTCAGAGACTTCCAGTTTATACACTGCAAAATTTCAGATTTTCAGATGAGGGTCACTTTACACACATCTATCTGAGCCAGATCCAAGTCGGCCCTGCTGCATAATAAGCAGGTCCATGTGGGAGAGTTGGATGTGGGTTTTTTTTTCCCAAAATCAATTTCTTCTTGAAATAACCATTTTAAAAACCAGCGCCAGATAATTACCAGGGCGAAATGAATATTTTAGTATAACAATCATTATCACTTCCGCAGGATCCGAAGACAGTTGTGTTCAAAATAAATGAGTCCGCAGCATCTTTTAAATGCCCTGAAGATGAAAACACTAAAAAACATATTAGATTTTCAAAGGATTATTTTCGATAACAACAATTCAGAGTGATTTATAAATCAAAGTTTTTTTCGGTCAGGGCCAAAGGTGGGAGACCGTACCTATGAGACGGCGATCGGGAGGCAGCTGGACGGCGGTTTGGTCTGCAAAGCGGCAGAGGATCATGTGCTCCTGGAAAGAAGTGAGACAGTGAGTGGAGAAACTGTTGAATAAAGTTTTTTTTTAAAAAAAACATCAAACTTTGTGTGGAAATCTGCTTAAATGTGACGACAGTATAGAAAAAGCTATTTTTCCTCTACAGCCCAGGAGACAGGGGGCGTCAGAGGTGGTCCCATGTTGTGTCACGTCAACTCCTTGTGTTGCTATGGCCAGCAGCTACGGCAACTTTTGCACAGATTCCCTCCCAGCGCACTGACAGCTCCCATACATCATCGTGGGATGGGCCCTCACAAAACACAGTGCTTTGTCTGTGCTGAGAGATAAGAGGTTGAAGGGTGTTAACCTTCCCCTTGTAACAGGCCGGGAAACGTTTCCCCTCCAGACAGTGATGGGAATATGTCATTAATTTCAAATTACTTATTGTTTCTTCTGCCTGGCGAGAGATTAACACTAACAGAAACAGACGGAGAGATGATTCCCCGTGTCATATTTTTGGGCAAAAATGGCTGCATGTCAAAAAGATTTACAACGGAATTGAAAATACACTGACATTTACATTCTGCAACCGATTGATCATAATTACATTGTGAACCAATCACGGAAAGCCAAAGTTGGAATAAAAAAAAAAAAAACAAGACCCAAAACAACAATTGCATCATATCCCCCGATGACACTGATGTTTATTCATGTGACACATTTATTAAAAAAAATATTGTCACATTTAGACATTTTTCCTCGCATGCTTTAATGATGCAACCCGGTTGAACAAACCCCCAATCCAATAAGAGACGAATGGGTTTCATAAAGACTCGATGTAGCTGCGTTGCTGCGGAGCGGTTGTCTGTGTGTGTTTCAATTTGTTTCTGCGTTGGCGGAGCATCAGTCTGAATCTTGTCGGGTTGTTTGCCGGGTGTTGACAACTGTGCTTCGACCTCAGGCATTTTCACCTTTCACTGGTTCGTTGCACGTTGGTGCACCAGTGAAAATATTAACCTGTCAAGCAGAGGCCTTTGCGCCGTCATTTAACTCAATAATCAACCAAGATGCGATTGGCGTGAAGTACTGACTGCGTTCTATCTTCCCAGGAATGCAGTAAAAAAGACAACATGAAGTTTGGGAAATCACACGCTCACTTGTTTAAAAGGGAAAAAAAAAAGAAGAAAGAAGAAGCCTTTTAGAGAAATAAAGAAATAAAGAGCTCATACATGGGCTGCCCTGATATTAAAATGTTCTGGTAAACTAACCAACAGTCTTTTTATCCAATTTTGAAAGGACTGGTTATGAAAAGAACCTTAACAAGAGGCAAGATCTTTGTTGGCAACAGAGGGGAATCGTCTGTAAAATTAAAAAAAGATTAAAAAGAATCCAGACAGCTGTAACATTCACATTTTGTTTTTGGGAGAAAATGTTGCCCTTTATCACGTCTCCCAGGCTTTTCGGATGTTTTTTCTGTCCTACATTATGATGTTGTGTTAGCGTAGGTGAGCGACACAGTTATGGTGAAAATCGAGTTATATGCTAAGACAAAAACTCTCTGGAGAACCCCACTGCTTTTTTTTTGGCTGAACAATTCCAGGCTGAAAACCGTCTACAGATCACAGACAACAACGACGACGACAACAACAACAACAACAACAACACAGGAGCTTCACTGACCACACCACACTCCTGATCTCTCTGCATTTGAAAATCATCTTGTACATCATTATGAAATCAAATAATAAAGACCACAACCTGTTAACCTGGGACTGTGTCAGTAATAAATGAACCAATGATCAGATGCACTAACCTAAACATTTGCAGATTTTACTGTTTCTCTGTATTTTTATTTTAAATACTATGAGAACCTATGAATAAATATATTCCTAATCATGTGTCAAACAGAGTCAATGAGCCCCAGACCCACTCCCTTCATCAGCCCAGTTGCTGTAACTTAATATTCTATGCATGATATTTTGCCTCGGTGCATATGAATAATACATACAAGAAAGGGATTGAATCACATTTAAAGGCTTACCTTGGAAGTCAGAGCCTCTCGGAAGCCTTCGCTGCAAGAAGAAGAAAAGAAAATTTTAATGTGAAACAAATGTGATTAAATCATGAGATTAATTGGTGTGGCTGTCATTAGGCTTCAGTGAGATTCATCAATTAGACATGAATCCTTCACCAATTTAAGCTGTTTGTGAATCTTTTATTAAAACACAGATTTGCTTTCACACAGGAACCAAATCTGTTCCGGTGAAACAGCTAGTAAAAAACTAACTGATAAGGAGTCAAGCTAATTAAAAACCAACACGCAGAGGGTCAGGGGGAGGTCCAGTCACATGGAGGGGTCTTAAGTTCAACCTGAACTGTTGGAGCGTTCATGAAATGTCCATTTTAGAACTCGTAAAAAGCTGTGAACTGCCTGGAATGTCTACACCTGCAGAATATCCACATGAGTACCTGGAACATGACCTGAGGGGAAAACACTAAAAGTAGCGAGATGAAGATTGACACGGTCAGGTGCGTGGGCCCCTCGGACACGCTGCCCTGCAAAAACACGTTTTGTTGTTGTCCATTACGGTGGCAAATACCTTTTTTTTGGGCTTTTTCTTTAGGTTTTTGGAGAGCCAGGGGAGATGAAGTGTCAAATTAACTCAAAAAGACAGGACAAGTGAAAACACATAAATATTAGTACACCTGTCAACACGGAGGGTCTTTCTGAAAGCATACTTTTAGGGTCAGGAAAGCCGCAGGCAGCAGAAATACTTTGAGACTTGTACAAATGAATTTACATCTGAGAATGTCTGCAAAAAAAAAAAAAAATCACACTGTCATCCTCAAGGGATTGAAAAAAAGTTATTTAAAAAGAGTTATTTCTTCATAGATTTACATTTTTTACATCTCAACCTGAGACCTTTACCAATCTGTGGTTGATTCATCTGAGTTATTTCTTCATAGATTTACATTTTCCGTTTGTACGCCATACATTTGATTGAGCTACATTCACTTTCTTTTATTTGTATCGATTTCTATTTGTTCTGCTCTTTATTATGGCTCCCAGGTGTAAGATTCTTCTTCTTCTGATCATGGTGTTACCACCGTGTTAGTGTATGTGAGTAACACAGGGAGCAGTGGTGGCTCGGTGGTTAAGAAAGCGAACTTGAAAGGTTTCAGGTTAGAATCCAGAAGCTACCAAGATACCACGGAGGTGCACCGTCCCCACACACTGCTCCCCGGGCGCCCACGCTGCCCCTGCTCACTTTGGAGATGGGTAATAAAATTCATTTTCACTTTTATTACTTATCTACAGTATATTACGTCACTCTGTAGAAACGGAACTCAAACGGACACAAGTCAAGGACCCCGTGCATTTAAGTATTTAAAATGTAGGTTACTAGGAATCTTTAATTAGATAGAATATTAAAGATAATATTTTTAAGAAAAAGCTTTAGCATTTTTAACCTATTTATTCTTAGGAAAATGCATTTGGTTTCACGCGTGTCAATAATAAAAAAAAAAACATGAACGAATGAATGAAAGTGTCAATAAAAAAAATAAAAAAAACATGAACGAATGAATGAATCCTCCACTGTAATGACTGTGTTTGGGTTTGAATGTATAACTTTGCGTCTTAACGTCCAAACCCAACAACTTCACCTCCCACTGATCTCAGTGCAGCTGTGTTGCTACAACAACCCTGCAACAACAGCTTCGTCGTACACTACCCAGGATTCCAAAGTTGTTTTAGTGACATACTGTTTAGCCCCGCTACCTTTGCGGCACAGCAAATCAACACAGCGCTGCCATGGCGACGGGGTCAACCACTATTTAATGTCATCATTTCTGTCTGTGGTGCCTGTGTCTGTACGTACGTGCCCATATGTTTGCCTATCTGGAGTAAGAAAGTGACTGGTTTTCTGTCACTCTCCATAATGTTATTCTAATGGCATCATTACATTTAACTGGATCGTTTTCTGTCACTTCTGCAGCCTCTGCATCATTATTCTCTGAGTTGATAAAAACAAAAAAAAAAGGCTGGAATTTACAGCAGCTGGTCCTGGACAGCTCTGATGTGGATGAGATGTGACGCCAAATCATCACGAGACGACAGGAGAGCGCAGATAAACGAGCAGTGATGGTGGGAAGAGACGGAGCGTGAATGTGTGGTAAAAAGAAAACGTGAATGAGCTGGAAAAATACATTTAAATTCCCAGAAAACAATATTGGAATAAAAAAGACGAAGAAAGTCAGAAAGTGTTTTTAACTGGCAGGACTCCAGAGACGTGACACGGTAATGAGGTGCCACTCTCGCAGGTACAAACCTCTTGGGGAAGGTGAACTTGACTGCGTTCTGGATAAAGCCATAGCAACAAGGACTGATGACAAAAGCAGCGCCGGCGTCGATGCAATGCTCCATCACCATGTCCGTTGCAATGCCACACGCATGCAGCGCCACCTGCAGTGAAGTAAGTGAAGTAAATCAGACAGAAAAAAAATCATAAAAATATAAACAGTGGACAATAAAACTGGGTCGTACGTCTGTCTGACAGAAAGGGGCCGGAGCTCAGAGAGTCCCAGGGCGCGCTCTTCATCATATTGACTACATTATAATGGCTGCTGCTCTTGGAATTATTTACACCCTCAAAGGTGCAGACTTGCAGTTAGGGCAGACAAATGCATTAGTGCTTTACGTCTGGAGGCAGCGAGTCCTGTTGAGTTTGTAAACTGCGGTGATGAACGGCTACCAACGCTTTGCTAAAAGGCAGCTCTTAAATTATGGACCAACAGAAAAACATAGTCATAAGAATTTTGTTTTTTTTCTTCCAACCATCTCTCATCTTAAAGTACATCTACAGAAAGGCTTATTTTGAGTTTGATGTTTTAAGTATACATTAAACTCACTGTTTCTGCAGTTTGTTTATCGTGATACAAATATTATTGTCATTCACAGTGCTACTGTTACTGAACATGTGATACAATATACAAATATATTAATGTAAATTAGCATTCAATTGATATTTCTAGCTGACAATTAAATTTTTAATTATTATTATTATTGATTATAAATTAATATATATAAGTGCATACATTTCCGCGTTAAGCTAAAAGATGCAACATGCCTAATAATATATATAAGTGCATACATTTCCACGTTAAGCTAAAAGATGCAACATGCCTAAAACATATTAGAAGGATTTTTTTTTTTTTTGGTGTTTTCAAAAATACAATTCAGATACATTTTTTGTGATAATAATAGATCTGTGTGAATGAAAAAGTGTATGTTCCGATCAGCAGTGATAATACTGTAACTATTCCAGAGGAGTGTGTTGGTGAAGAAGCCGTTCCACTCTTCTCATCCAAAGAGTTGTCATGTTGGCGTCTGTGAGTCTGAATCTCTTGCATGTTGCCTTGACAGCAGTGCCACAGAGCAGAAGTTCAGAGACGTCAGGACAAGACTAAGCCAAGGCTGGCTGCAGCTGCAAAGATTAGCGGAAGACAAAGACGCCGTGAACGCGGCCAAACAGACCCAGAGTCACAGGGTTGACTGCAGGGGACAGAAGTTCTCTGATTTAAACTCATTTAAATTCAGTTTGCAGGAAGTACCTTCACTGCCTTCTCCACTACTACAGCTTCATTACACACATTGTTATTTGCACACACTGTGGGAAACCGTTTTCATTTCACTGAAGCGTCTCAAGACAAAACACCATCTTTACCAGCATGTGTTTGTAGAACTTCAAAATATCCACCAACTCTTCCACGAGGATAAATTCCGAGTTGAAGTTTTACAAATTTCTCCTGATAATTTATCCATATTAATAATTCCATCATTTGGATTAGACACAAATGAAAACACTAGTGAAACACAAACATCTCCCTGTTTTTTTCTCTCTTTCCATTCCAGCAATCCAGAGGGTGAAACACAAACATCTCCATGTTTTTTTTCTCTCTCTTTCCATTCCAGCAATCCAGAGCAAATAGGCAGTGTTGTGGGCTGAAGGCGGTGAATGAGGCTTATGACACCTAATTCTCACTCCTTCATTTATTTATGACACCAGGGGAGAAGCCCTAAGTGTTTACTACGGCATATTTCAGGCCAGTGATTCAGCAGTGGAACTGCTTTCAAATGTTCCTTCCCTCACATCTGAGGGAAAAATAATTGAAGCAGTTATACCGCCACTCTCAGCCAGCATTTTAATGCTGTACATTAGTCATACTATGGCAACGTTTAATTACACTGTAGCACCTTTGGTCTTGATTTAACACGCGGACAAAACCACTTAACTACGGCAACAAAAGGAAACCACAGTGGTATATGCTGTAACAATTAATTATGCGCTTCCAATTCCCTGACTAGCTTTACAGTGTGGACCTTTATTAGCAAAGCATGTTCACGTCCCTATAAAACCTGAACCGATTCAGTGAAGATACAGTAGCTTCAAACTCATCTGAAATTGTACTTTAAAAGTTTCACCCATCAGGCTGATTTTTATATGAAATATTTGGAATATTAAAAATATGTTAGTGACATGGTTGTCATGCGATAACATATGTGGCCTTGAACTGTCGTTGGGCAAGAGACGTTAAAAAAAAGTCACCTCTCTCAGGCTTGTCAACAGCTCAGACAAGCGTTTTAATATCACATCCTTTTCTTTTAATATTACATCCTTGTCAAGAGTCAAGTTTTTCATGCCTCAAAAACGAACAAAAACGAACATCTTTTAAATCAGAGCTGACATCAAATTAAAAGGAAAACAAACTGAAAGGCAACCCTTTAAAATAATTGATTTTTTTTTATATAACCATAAATGAAAGAACATTGGAAAGGAACAAAATTACCAAACTTAAACGAGGCAAGAAGCAGGATCTGCTGCAGAAAACATCAGAGAATAACAAAAAAAAAATCCCAGAATAAAACCCTGAATAAAAACACTGGTACCTGAAGATTACTTCCACCTCACAGTTTGGCGATTTTTCATTTGTGTCATTGAAAGTGTCCCTCTGCCTGCGGCCACCAACGGAGGCTTTAACTACGTGGCGACAAATAAAAACACTGGTACCTGAAGCGCTCAAAATAAAATCAGTTTGGCGATTTTTCATTTGTGTCATTGAAAGTGTCCCTCTGCCTGCGGCCACCAACGGAGGCTTTAACTACGTGGCGACATGAGTCAACGCAACAATTTGCAAGAACAAAAAAAAAAAAAAAAAAAAAAACATACAAACAAAACCACTTTATTTCAAACGCTGAAATCTATCTTTGTGAGAATTATTAGAGAATTATCCCTGTTAAAGAAATTTGTTTTTATCCGTTTACTGGAGACAAAACGTGTTCGTGCAGTGGTTTGTCTATTCATAACAACATGGGCTGCTTTATACTGGGAAGAAAAGTGTCTCATATATATTGAAATTGAAGCAGAATATTTTGTAAATACAGTATTGAAACCACACTCTATGGGAATTCATTAAGTCAATTCACTGTATAAACCTATGAAGACATTTTCTCTCAACACGTAAAAAAGACCAACCGTGAAACCACTACGACAAAAATAACTTTCAACTGAACAAGGTTCCATGTAAAGTATATTCTATAATTTTATGTATTGAATACAAAACACAAAACAAAAAAGCAAATGTTCCCAACATCAAACAAAGATTTGCAGCAAATGTTCCCAACATCAAACAAAGAAGATTACTTCCACCTCAACCTCAAATCCTGTCACAACTAGATTAGAACAGCTGGAACGTTTGGTTCCTTCCATTATAAAGATGCTTCATTCATATAGACTGGCCCACGGATCTGTAGCCACGACCAGAACAACAAACAGCTCACACCTGTTCTGAACGTGTGCACTCTGTTTGCAGATACTTAGCTACAAAAGAAGAAGGTACTTAGCTACAAAAAGAAGAAGAAGAAGAAGAATCTTGGTGTTTGTTCTTTGCCAAGTGGAACAGGTCTCAGTGGAGAAAAGACGCCGGGACAACGGCGATTACTAATTACACGAGTATACACACAAGTATTTCTGTGTTTCCTTTCCAGAATTCAAATAAGGTTACCAGAACAGCTGGGTTTTCTATCGCCGGGTTAGGGGACATGTAGGGCAGACCTCGCCGCCATCTTTGTTGGAAAAGATTGGGAACGATTACAGCAGTAGACGCAGAGGAACAAAATGAAAACTGTTCTCAGCCTAGTCAGAGGTTGAGTGGGATTTTAATTTACTCAGATGACTTGTTTTTGCTGGACGGGGTCTGCAGATAAACAACAACGCTTAGTGACTTATTGGCTCCAAATTGATAGTCATTATCTGTATGAGAAGTCAAGGGCAATGGGAATGGAGGTCCTAAATTAGACCAGCAGGGGCTATCACCCCACGGTGGGAGAGTGTTACTCAGCGCCGACTCTTCAGTTGGTTTTAACTCCATTAAGCCGAGGCCTTGATTCATGGTCTGAAAGCCGGTGTAATATTCATTCCGTTGTCGCAGGTGGCCGTGCACAATAAAACACGTTCACTGAGCTGCAGGTTCAAACTCATCAGACACAAACAGGCGCCTCTGCGGCCTTGGCAGAGGTGTTCGTACCAAAACAATCCAGCGATGTGATGAGACGAACAAAAGTAATGTGACAGAATTAAACACCAACGTGACAGTGGCTGATGACCAGACGGATTTAATTAGAAATTCTTTGTGATGAGCACACTTCAACACTGAGAGCTGATAAGTCATTTATGTAAGATCTCCGGAGAGCAAAGCAAAAGTATATTTGAGCCGAAGACCAACAGATAACAAGAACAAACCCAGACATGAAGCCGAATAATTGCGTTCATTAAGGCTATAACTCAGACAGCTGTGGCTTAGAATAATGTCGGCGTGAACAGATCTTGATCTGTGATAACAAGAGCAGCAACACTGAAAGAACTATTCATGATGGATGAGCTGAGTATAATACAACTTTTAACTTTGAGTTATTTATTTAAAGACTTCACTCCTCCCTTTAGTTCTCTTTCTCTGAAATTAGGGTTGTCTCAACAGTCGATACCATTTGACCAAACCAGTTTAATTTGGATATTCTCATTTGTGTATTTGATCAGCTCTGTGGGCTGTGAGAAAAAGAAGGAAAAAATATCTGTCTGTATTAAAAACCACATCAGCTGTAACATTAGACAATGTAACTAAAACAACTTATATATATACACATATATATTAAAAGACTAAGATAGAAAAAACAACTTTCTGCATAGATAACACAGTCAAAACTGTTCAAAACCTCAAGCCAATTTTCAAACCTAAAGTTCATGAAGCAAGCAGTTAAAAAAAAAAATCCCCACAATTCTTCAAGCACCAACGTAAGGCGACTGATAGACAATGCATTAGGTGAAAAAAATATTCATATTGAGATATACGATGTCATAAAATATTATTTGCGCTGCATGGTTACAGTTGGACAACAGATTTCAGATTTTCTGCAGCGACTCAAAAATGTTTTTACCATATGCTGTGTGCAGACACATCACATGAATTATCTGTGAGCAGGCAGATGGTAAGCAGCTGTATTTACGAACCAGGCCTGATTTAAATTAGTACCGGGCTAAACTTATTGGACCGGGCTTTAAGATAACTCATAAAGAAAGAACCAGTCGTCCCTGAGCTACTGTGGCTGCAAAAAGTACTGTCCATTTTATCAAAGCAAAATCTTACCAAATTAAATTCAATTTGATGCTCACCCCAATCTGAAACGGTCCAGTGAAGTAATCCAGATTAGCCTGAATGAAGCCGATATTGTTGAGTCCTAATTGAGCACTGCGGCGCTGGGCCCTGACCAAGGACTCTTCCTTGTTCTCTATGAGGATGACCTTGAATGAGAGACACAGAGATGAGGCGATAATTATGGCTGTGATAGCAACAGGTTAAGAAAAAGAAATATATAAAGTAAAAATATGTACGTATGTATATATATACATATATACATATATTATACTTATATATATATATATATATATATAGAATAGAATAGAGTAGCCTTTATTGTCATTGTTACACAGGGATACAACAAAAATGAAGGTGCAGAGCCTTGAGCCGCTGTGTCTGTGCGCGCCGCCATCTTGGATCCAGGGCTAGTAAATATATATATATATACACACACACTTCTCATGCATGATAAGCATCGGCTGCTGTAAAATTGAGAAGATTAAAAGAAGTAGCCTTTTGTCTGAAAAGCCTCACTTTTCCCCCTTAATAATCACATCTACATAAACCACTCTTAAGGAGTCGTGAATGTACTGTTCGTTTTTCCACTTGATTTGTCTCCCTGATGTATTTAGCCTCGGTCGTCGTCTTCTTCTGCTTCTTTCTCTTTCTTTTTTGCACTTTCCCCCACCTGTTCCTCATCCTGATTTATTTTCTGTGATTTTCCTGTTTCTACCTTGTTTGTCAGTCTGCCCCTGACGTGCTTCACCTGTGTCCCAGTCTTCTGTTTAGCATAGCGCTCCACTCAGTTTAGTTTACTCATTCAGTAGAGAGGAGTTTTGTTTTCTTTTGTTTTTCAGTCTTTTCTTCTGAATTCTGAACTCTCTTTCTGGGTTTTTTATTTGTTAAAAGGTTTGATGTTTTTTTTTGTTTTTTTGTTTTTGTTTTTAAAGCCGTCCATTTGCCAGAACCACTTACATTACCTGGCATTCTGGAAGAGTGTGAGCCAGAACAATGCCGACATGGCCCTGAGAAGAAGCACAAACATGTTAAAGAAACGAAAATTGCAAAACAGCAGACAAAAGAATGATGATTTGCATTTCCCCTCTAACAACCTGGTATTTTAGACACAGCTTATATTCTCCGTGTTAATTACATGGCCAAAATAGAACGCATTATCAGTGGGAAAAAAAAAGAGTAAAAACTGTTTTCCCCGATGGCGCAGCAGTTTGTTTAAAAGAATCAGCAGCACTAATACATTTAGATGGACTGATGGATGAGAGTGTTTACCGTTCCACTGCAAAAATCCACAACAGTATATCCAGGTCTGGCTAGCTCTGTAACCATGGCAACCAAGTTATTCAGCTGTTGCTTTTTCCTGATGGCTCGGATGTTCGACATTTTACCTGAAAATAAACAAAAACAAAAATAAGTACTGTCGCTGGGCAGTAAATGGACAAAAATCAACATGTTTGTACAGTCAGTTATTTTTGGTAAACAGACTTTTTTTTAAACTTTACTAAACTTTAAGACATTTTGCCTGAATACAAAAAAGTCACAACAAACAAAGATTAAATAGAAAAGAAACATGTTCCCAAAATGCACCTGTTTAAAGGACAAAACGACATAAATGTAGTTTTTATTCATTGCATCAAACTTGATGAACAATTATACATAATTACACTAATTAAACCTTTGTTTATTTAGTAAGGTGCCACCCACTCTGTTCCATTTCATAACACTAATATTTGGTACATTAATGGAAAGACCAGCCAATGAAATCCAGGTTATTTGTCAGTATCAAAACCAACTGTAAACACTACGACCTTGTGCTGTTGTCGGAGCAGCGTGTAGCTCCTGCATCGTCCTATTCCATCTACTTGCGCAGCATGTAGGTGGTGAGATTTCCACTGTTTTGTGTTTCATTTACTTCATGTCTCTCACATACCATTTGAAAAAAATCAGGAAGTGATGCTGTGAATATAAATTGCCCTTAAAAAATGTTTCGAATTTGACAACACGGTAGAAGAAACCTCAAGGGGAGACGTTTTCATTTAAGCAGCACAAGTAGGAAGTTTTCCAAACTCTCAAAGTACCTATTGTTTATAATAACGTGGTGTTAAAAATAAATGAGCGCCTTTGTCTGAGTTTGTCTAAAAATGTCTGACATCTGAGTCACAACAGAAATCTAATTTCCCAGGCAAACCGACACTTTGTTAACAGTCTTTCTCCAGTTCACTTGACGAGGTGCTGAATATCAAATGTTGTCTCTGTGCTAAATGTAGCCACTGTCTGTGTTTTGTGCTGAAAACTGCTGGCTTTCACCCCAATTTATGATCACGTGTTCCAGCAACTGCAGACTCTGAACTACTAACGAAGTACAGCCAGACGACTGACTCCATCTTAGGTCCCAATCAATGAAAGAATACATTAGTGATATCGTCTCTTTTTTGTGTTGGTGGGCAGGTCAATAAATGTCACACCAATGTGTTTGAAGAGTCAAGTCTGGACGGAGAAGAAACAGGTGAAGGAGAGTTGTACAGACTGGATCTATCATTTTGATTGGTCCCTGATCAAAACAGGTGTGAAACACATACATCTACCAAAAAGCCAATGTATTTCTGTTGCAGCAACATACACATTTTTGGTCATTTTTAGTAAGATTGTTGGGTTAACTCGCAGCAACATGCAGTTTTTTGGTAATTTTTAGTAAGATTGTTGGGTTAACTCATTTAATGTTGATTAATCGTGAATAATTTGCAGCTACGATGTGATTAATCAGAATAAAAATCCTAACTGTTTGACAGCCCCAGTTTGAATGGATTCCCATTCCGGCTCCCGATGCTGTAAAACTAATGATGAACGAAAGAAATGCGCCTGCTCTTTCATGTTTTAGCAGAAACCTGGAGAGCGGAGCGGTGGAGACGACATCTCATGGTTTATGAGCTGGGAGTCCTTGTTAAGAGACAGAACTGGAAACCCAAATTGCAAGTGAAGCCTGTTTATGTGGATCCTGTAATAGTGTGAGCCCTAATTTAGACACCGGGTACTCAAGGATAATGTGTGTTGAGTGCAGAGATTTAATGGACTGAGGATAGTTCCACCGAGTGGGGGGGAAAAAGCCAAGCCGAAGTGCAAAAGGCCAGTGTTTCTCCTGGTGTTCAGAAAGTGTACAAATTGATTTTTCTAGCTGCACGCGTGAGTTTTTCAGAGAAAGGCGACTTCACTGTGTGAGGTCAAATCCATACGCTTCATGGAACGGCGTGGGTGGCCATAACAGAGACAAACACCCGCTACTTCTGCCTTTGTTTTCAGTTATTTTTCTCTGTAAAAGCTGTAAAGTTCATGGCATCTGGTCTCCGTGGTAGCATCACGTTTAAGGCTGAAGGTCAGAAAAACCTCAGAACAGAACACGAGCCCAAACACAAGCATGAAAACTCGTATTAGACCCAATTCATACTGTGTAAAATAAATATGGTTCCATCTGTAATTAGCAAAGTGGAAGTGTAATTAATAACAATGTTTAATTCAAGGAGATGCAGAATTATTAGGCACAAAATTAATCATATTTTGTAATTCTATAATTAGATGCTGACATTTACAACATACACATCTCATGTTTCGTATCAAGTACGAATCAGAAATTGGATCCAAATATCCCTACGATCTGCCCGTACTGGAGATATGACACTGATGAGAAAATATATTCAACAACTTCTAACAGCTCCGTATATTAACTGTAATTTACATGGCGAGTCATTTATGCTGCTTCATGTGAAGCTGCTTCCTGAATGTGACATTCTGTCGTGCTGCTCTCAGATCTCTTTGACGAAGCTCGTCTTCGACTGCACGCCGTGAGAACCGAGTGAAGATCCAAAATGATAGATAGAACAGTTGAAGCCTCTCAATTTAAAGTCCAGAGAAAAAACTTCAGTTTAATCCTCCTTTATAGGACCGTAGTGCTGTCTAGTCACACACATCAAAGTCTCTCTCTCCTTCTCTTTCTCGCCCACTCTCACACACTCATACTTGTTTCTCTGCACTTCTGAGGTCTAACTGAAGAAACACTGCATCCTCCAGGCTGTTACTCTAAGGTTATACCATCATAACTAAAAAAAAACAAATCCTACTCCCAACTCTGATCCAGTGGTTCCCAAACCTTCTTCTGCGTGGACCCCAAGTGTAGACAGGAGAATTGATAGATCAAGTTGACAGTATATATGATCATTTTGAGGGGTTTAAGGATCAAAAACAAGTTGTTTGGAATCATGCGAACGTCTATTGGTTCCTACAAAGTGATGCCTCGTCTGAGCCAGGTCAAGCTTGTGTTTGACTGCACTGGTACTGTACAAACTGAGTACAGTAATACATTTTTTTAAAAAGGACAGAGAAGAGAGTCAATGGTGACATTAACTTAGTGACTTTTCATACGTCCACAGTTTAGTCCAGTACTTGACTCGTATTTCCCAATCCCATTTCTGAGATGATTATGTCTACATCAGCAGTAGTATTCTGATAGTCACCCAACTGAGACAATAATGTGAAAACACTTCATGCTGGCTGGATGAATGTACTGCAGTCCTCTTCTGCTGCTCCGCGGAGCTCTACGTCTCCAGCGTCGGTGCCAAAAACACTCAACTTTGAAGCTTAAACCAGCAATTTTAAAAATGCATCCTCGCCTGAAGTAAAGTTGAAAATACATCCAGTGAAAAATGAATATTTCAGTTCCAGGTTTCTCACTTATAATAATTAACCTCCCACGACGGCTAAGTGGGGCTAAGATACTACTGCTAAGCCTGGCCCCTGGCATCTACTTCTTTGGGTTTTATTGATGGTTTTGCATTGCACATGACACACTATCGCCCCCTAAAGGAACAGAATGGGAGGGAAAGAGGGGGCAGTGCCTCAGTAAAATTATGCAGTTATTGTGAGGGGTTTCAGAGTGAGGCAAATTTTAAGCATCACATTTCTTCATTTGTGCCAGAAAACAGCGTTGATTTTGAATCCTTTGTTTAATGAAAATTGCAACTGTAAAATTTGTAAAAATTGTAAAAGTTTAATATTATTCAAATCACGCATAGGATGGACTCTACTCTTCTCTGCTCTAATAATCTGCCTACCATATATGTGTTTTTTTTTGTCATAACCTTAGACAATAGTCAAATATTTATTGAAGTTTGCATATATGTGGGATTTGTTGTCATAACCTTGGACAATAGTCAAATATTTATTGAAGTTTTAGTGAAGGATGATTATTGGTTTGAATTAAACAATCAAAACTTCAGAGCCAAAGGTTAAAAAACCTTTTAATTTAAAAACAATATCCACACACAGGGACAGTAGATTTACAGAGGGATGGCTAATTGAATTCCATGTCACCTCAACAAATCAAGAATGGAGTGAAATTTCCACAGAACACCTTTCGTGTATTTATACTGACAAGAAAACATCCACTCCTTCTGTGCCTGCTGACAGCCATACATCCAGTCTTCAATCTCAGCTGAAAGGCTGTTTTTTTTCTTCATTTTACCTCTCAGCAAACCTGTCTGACCTGTTCCATGGATTGAAAGCTAATTGGCCTGTAATGTTTTCTTTTGAAAGCCTATATTTTTGAACCTCCACAGCATGTTGTGTGGTTGAATGGATGCTATTACATAAAAAATAGAGCTGAAGGTGACAGAACTGAGAGTCCGGGTATAGAGAAAACTATTTCTTTTATTCTGTACGATGTTTGCTTAGTGTAAGAAGTAAACACCAGGTTCCTTTGTCATTGAGCAAAATGGAAAAGCGGTCACCTACACGTCCTATTCTGTTAAAAGGTGTCTACCACAGCGGTTGCTGCTGGCAAAAAGCCACGTCTCTTGCCATTTCCCCCGGTGCTGCTGGAGTACCTGCAGTCTTATCGAGCAGGTTCATCTCACTGATTACAATGTAAACACAAAAGGCCTCTGTTTAGACTCGAGAGATTCACAGCTACCGTCTTCCAGGGGAATAAGTGCACATAAAAAGGCAACACACACAGTCTAACAATATGTTAACTATGTACTACAGCGTAGAGTGTTGAATACGATTATAGAGCATGTCTTCTGTCTGAGGGTGAAAAGGCAAGGCAACAGCCATGACTCGACAGGAACAGATCAATCTGACAATTATCAATAAACAACAGAGACAGAGGACGTTAGTCTTCAAAAAAAAAAGGTAGCTTAGGCATAGTATGTGTAGACAGGAAATGCTATTTTGGATTCAGTTCAGCTGCTGGCCAGCAGGGGCAGTTTTTTATAAATTGCTACAAAAGAAGAGAAGAAGCAACATGTAAACAAAGACATATTCTGACCATCTATCCACTTGGCGTTGCTCTAACGCACCATCGATACATGTTCAACTGTCGTTAGCTTGCATCAGAGCT